TTCACTGCTGCTGATGAAAAGTGTAACCTGGAGAGCTCAGCGTGAGGTAGGGATCTCGAGCCAGACCTGTGATCATCACGCTCTCTGAGCCTCTGAGCCGGTATTACTTGGGGTGACATGACAGGGGAGATAAGTGGCCGCCCAGTAACTGGATGGTTGCAAGTTCGAACCCCCTCTGTCGCAGTCATTGTGTCCTTGGGCAAGGCGCTTCATCCTGCATGCCAGCTGGGACTGGGGGGCTGAGTGCCCCAGAGCAGCTGAGGCTACGATGTAGCTCATCACCACCTGTGTGTGAACGTGTAAATGGCTGAATGAGTGGATGGTTTGTAAAGTGCCTTGGGGGGTTAGAACTCTAAAACAGGCCATTTTCCATCTGACTAGTTGAAGCTAGTAGTGCGTTACACCGCGGCCTTTTGGAACATCTACCAACATCTTAAACCAGGAAGTGACTAGTTTATTGTTTCAGGCATTGCAGTTTGGTGTTCGTGATCGGAGCGACTTTGAGTTCATATTCAACAGAACAAATATGATTAAAACTCAATAAGAACGGATTCTTGTTTAGCCTGAAGAGCTTTGGTATATTTTTCCTTATTGATGTTCTGAAGCGGAGGTCTCTTGAAGTTTTCTGACCTTCCCGATGTGCAGAAATCTCTCAGCTAAATATTTATGCAGAATATTTGTTTTTATTATAACCATCGCATGATGACTGAAAGCAGCCCGAGGCCTTTTCCTCTGAAGGACACAAACAAATGTCAACAGAAGAAGCTACAGCTTCTACTTCCACTCCTATAGATGAGGATTATGTTAGACCGTTTAAATCCGTCTGAATCCACAGGATTAAAACACATGGTTCAGATCAGATGATCTCAGAGAGGCCCCGCACCTGGCAGGCTCGTCACATCACAGGGAGAGGCTGAGGAATGGTTCTAACCTAAACAAAGTCAGCTCCTGCTGAGACGTTCCTCTGGGGTGTTGTGGACATGTTAGAAGAGTCCTGCTGCTCCTGCTCGTAAGCCGCGATCGGTCGTTGGATTCCATGACAGCTGACAGCTTCCTATGAAAACGCTCAGGATGGAGCAGGCTTTTGTTTTTCTGTTTCACTTTAGAGCTAACCGTCCGTGAAGAGGTTCCACATCTAGAGTTTCAGGGTGGAGCACCACGGCCATGGGTTTTCTTTTGTTGGTAGAACTGACTCTAAACATCAGAAAAGTTCTTGTTTTATCACAAAACAAAGACTTCCTGAAGAGACCTATCATGAGTAAGAGCATGTGTAGTCACTGTGAGAGTAATTAGAATAAACGTGTTCCTAACTAATGATGATAGTAATCATCATGTCCTACATCATGGAGGCACCACGCTCCATCCTGACTGAAACTCTGCCTGTGGGGGCCGTGTAACGTGACACCGTGTAAACATTAGCTCAGACGTCACCCAGCAGCCTCTGTTATGCCCGAGCTGCTCTGGAAACACGTGGTCGTCTCCCTAAAGGACCAACCAAACCATGGCTGCTGCATTAACTGGTGTGTTGTTTCATATTCTCACACACGTTGGCATCACTAGATGCTGTTTACAGGTGCGGGGCCAAAGGTCATCCCAAACCACTTTGTTCAGTGATCTGACGACAGAGTTTGGAGGTTTCATGAACCATTTGTTTGTTTTTGTGTACCATTTCATCGAGTTCAAATAAAACATTCAGAGTAGGGTTGAAGGTGTTTTTGTAACAAATATCACACGTGAGACTTTTGTTGCTGCAGGTAGTTCAGGGCATTTTAATGGTGTTTCGTATATTTGTATCATATTGGTTTAGACTAGGGCTGGTGCACTTAGTAGCTCTGTTGTCTCACAGCAGGAAGGTCGTAGGCTTGAATCCTGGCTGCAGCCTTTCTGTGAGGAGGTAGCATGTTCTCTACATGCACACGTAGCATTAGCATGTTCTCTACATGCACACGTAGCATTAGCATGTTCTCTACATGCACACGTAGCATTAGCATGTTCTCTACATGCACACGTAGCATTAGCATGTTCTCTACATGCACACATGGCATTAGCATGTTCTCTACATGCACACGTAGCATTAGCATGTTCTCTACATGCACACGTAGCATTAGCATGTTCTCTACATGCACACATGGCATTAGCATGTTCTCTACATGCACACGTGAAGTTAGCATGTTCTCTACTAGTGTTGTCCAAAAAATCGATACCTAGATATAAATCGATGTTAAAAGTGGTATCTAAATTAGGTATTCCATCCCTGTGGTATCGATATTATGGACTATTATACACAGCCTTCATCAAGTACACCGACACGCACGACAGCCAGATGCCGTAAAGCAGCCTCCGCCTCCCAGACAAACAGAAGAAGAGGACGCCGCATGGCTACATTGCAATTTCCCACGCGAGTTGTCTCCGATCCAAGTTTTGTCTGCCAAATAAAACAAAAACATAAACAGCGAATTTGGGAGGGGCTTCACAGCCCAACTTTATTAGCATACCAAGTCCGACACGTAGTTTTATATTCACGCTTATGTGCTTAAAGAAAACTCCCGTTTATTGCAACCCAGACTTAATTTCTAGCATGCAGTACGTTTGTTTACTCACGCTGACAACTTTGGTGCTACTTGGATTCCCCGGGGTATTTACCGTAGATCCATCGGCGAATCGCCGTCAGTGTATATCCATATAACGGGTGCGGACGGGCACCCATGGTGCAGCCTCGAAATAAGACATTATTTGCACCAAAACATCTTCATGTCGAAAAGTTTTGTTAGGAATCATTAACATGATTCCCCTGTTCGTTTGGAGCGGGTCTGGTCTGGGATTTCTAGGCGTAAACAGACTAGCTGCGGCTAATCTAACCGGCGATTTTAATGACGTCACTGCTGTGCGCCAGTCTGTTTTTATTAAGATTACCGGTAGATGTACCTTTGTCCTACTGTGGAGAAATTTGTTTTCTCCCTTTATTGACCAACAGAGTTGTTCAAAAGTACAGAACAAAACATATGGAATTACATCTTATGACAAAAATGCACCTTAAACAGAGTTTAAGCAGCAAAACATCACTCTACAAATAGTGTATGTATAGTGAGACAATTCATGATTTAAAGTGTTAACTTTCACCAGTTTTTGTATGCACGTTTTAAAAAATGCTGATACTTGAAAGGTTTAAGCACTTTATACACTTAATTCTTAACATTTAATTTTTGCAATATAAATTGAGGAATGTTAATTTTTGAATAAACTTGTTCAATAAATTGGTGTTTTAAATAGTATCGAAATCGAGTATCGAGTTTCCCCCCCAGTATCGATTCGAGTTTGAAATTTTAGTATCGTGACAACCCTGTTCTCTACATGCACACGTGAAGTTAGCATGTTCTCTATGTGCACACATGAAGTTAGCATGTTCTCTATGTGCACACGTGAAGTTAGCATGTTCTCTACATGCACGTGTGAAGTTAGCATGTTCTCTATGTGCACATGTGAAGTTAGCATGTTCTCTATGTGCACATGTGAAGTTAGCATGTTCTCTACATGTAAGCATTTCTTCCCACAGACCAAATTGTCCCTGTGATGGACAGGAGACTTGTCCAGGTTGGCCCCCACCTCTCACAGTGAGCAGTGAGTGTTGTAGGCTGGAGATGCAGCTTTATCTCTCATAGCTAAAACCATGGAACCAAACGGTTCAAACAACAACAAAAAAAAAGGAAGAAAAACTCACCAATAAAGTCATTATTGACACTTCTAATGTTTTTATGGGACAGCACCTGTAAACTTTTAACGGACTGAGCCACAGGTGCACTTTACATCCACAGAAGGAAGCAGGTATCATGTGTTCACCACCTTTGTGGACCACTACAAACTCCCAGAGCTCAGTCAGGTGTGGATCAGAAGGGTTTTATTACCAAATGTGCGAGAATCACATCATTAGAAAATTGCTGCAGTCCAAATGGATCAGAGCCTTCTGCCAGATGGGAGCAAGTCAAAGAGACTGTGTCCAGGGTGAGATGGGTCAGCTGTGAACCTGACTGCATGCCTCAATGTCCTGGAGGAGTACATGTCCTGTATGGAGGGGAGTTTACAGCCAATGACCTTCTCAGCCGAGCGTACAACACGCCGCAGGCTCTTCTTGCCCCTAATGGTACCTCCGGTGTACCACACAGTGATTGAAGAGGTGGGGATGGACTCGATGACTGCGGTGTTGAACTGTCTCATCGACTGTGCTGATAGGTTGAATTTGTTCAGCTGCCTCAGGAAGTACATCCTCTGATGGGCCTTTTTTTATGAGGAGGAGGTGGTGGTGGGCTCCTATGTGAGGTCCAGTGTGATGGATCTGCTCGTTCTTTCATTGTTTGTCCAGTCGTCAGTAACAACCTGTGGAGCTAACAGTTGACCTCCTCAGGTCCTGACGGCTGAGAAGATAAAGCAGCAGTGAGTTAAAGACACAAGTCATTTTTATCAGGCTGATAAACAAACAGTTGGAATGCTGGTAAAGAAAATAATGAGCTGCTCAGTCAACACGGAGACTGTTTACAAACACTCAGTGACATATTATACCAGGAGTGCCCAATCCTAGTCCTCGAGGGCCGGTATCCAGCATGTTTTAGTTTTAATTCTGTTTCAACACACCTGATTTCAATCAGCAGGTGATTAACAGGCTTCTGCAGAGCCTGATGAGCTGCTGCACAGGGGACTCAACCAGTTAATCAAGTGTGTTGGAGCAGAAAAACCACTAAACCTGCAGGATACCGGCCCTCCAGGACCAGGATTGGGCACCCCTGTATTGTACTCTCTTAGGTCTCGTGTATTTATACTCTGTTTACTAATCTATCCAGCGTTTGTATACTCATGCATTGGAGGCTCACACATGCTTCAGATGTCAATCACAATAAGCTGAAAGACATCAACAGAAGTGAGAAAAGTGGGTCAATCACAGCTGTAATGTCACAAGTCTACAATATCTAATGGCATCAGTAAGAGACGTGCTGTGCTCTCCTCCTCAGAGGCCGTAGGAGAGAGAAACAGCAGTCACAAGTCCAGGAGGAGTCCGCTTCAGACGATGTTCAACGGTGACCAGGTCAGTTCTGGTTCTCTCACACGTGAACTTGGCTCCACCCTCGAGTGTTTGTTTATAAATAAATAACACAGTAATGAACATTTGTTGTCATGTAACGCACAGAGAAAGCCTGGGACGACACTTTATGCCGTTGTTGTGAAAACCTGCAGAAATGGAACCAGCTGCATGAACTTAGCTCTGAATCTGACCGACGGCTGTGTTTTATCGTGTCAAACAGCTGCTTTGATGTCTCCCACCACACTGAAGCAGGTCTGTGAGAGTGATGTCTTTGTTGTGCTGTCAGACAGCAGGAACAGTTCAGCTGATGTGGTCGCTCCTCTAGCGCCAGGGCACCAACCAAGCGCAGAGTCAGCTGTTTGTTAGAAATAAAGTTCAGGTTTGTGCTGCTGTCTGATGTTCTCCACTCGTTTGACTCACTCCCTCATCCACGTTGCTGTAGTCCTGTATGAGCCGCTCTGGAACAGCTGTTTCCAGTTAAGTCTTCCAGTAAGGACAAGGAGAGCGTCTGTTTGTGAAAGACTTTTCTCTCCGGTTTAAGGAAACTTTAATATTGATGCACCCAAAACCTCTTAGATTAACAGGTTATTTCTCTGGAAGCTTTAGGGAAGCGGTTCACTCTAGCAGTAAAACCTTTGTCTAATAACGTTTAAACCATATTTTAAGATTAAAATACCAGATAAATGACCACAACTTTCCTACAGATGAAGATTATGTAATAACTCTGCTCTTGGTTCGAGGGAAATGTCTTTCTTCAGAGTATTTTACTGAAACCCGAGGTGCCCGGACTCTGTGTTACATTGAGTTCTGCTGAGGGTGAGTCAGCGCTGGCTGGACACAGTCGGACCACTCTGGTGTTTCCTGGATCTTCCTGTGTCTGGACAAACAGAGATCCACTCATTGGGTCGGGCACCAAGTCCAGCTGAGTCTCGTGTCTCTAACCGCTGCAGCAGCGAGTCGGCCCAAGTAAATAAAAAAGAGTAAATAAGACATTTCTGGAGACCAGAGTGAACCGGATGACCTCTGGTTCCTTTGGGTAGTTTGAACTTGGGTGGAGCAGTCAGACCACCAGCTGAGAGGAACCGGACAAGATCGTGTTTTACTGGACTAAGGTTTGAGTGCCTTTAAAAACTGGTTTTCATTGGTTCCATTTCCCCCACAGGTTGAGTCAGCTCTACAGGCCATCCACCAGGGGCGGCGGGAGCTGTTGGAAGAAGCCTGTCGCTCTTACATCCGCAAACGCAGAGTCCTCATCCCAGAAGACCTGAAACACATCATCGTGGACGACAAGCACGGCCTGCTGTACTGCTACGTGCCCAAAGTGGCCTGCACCAACTGGAAGCGGGTGCTGATGGTTCTGACGGGCGTTGCTGGAGCCCACAAAGACCCACTAGCCATCCCAGCTAACGAGGCTCACGTCCCAGGAAACCTCCGCACCCTGTCCGAGTACTCCACCTCAGAGATCAACCAGCGTCTGCGCTCGTACCTGAAGTTTATCTTTGTACGAGAACCCTTCGAGCGCCTGGTGTCTGCGTACCGCAACAAATTCACACGGAGCTACAACACAGCCTTTCACAAACGATACGGCACAAAGATAGTGCAGCGGCACAGGCCACACCCGCAGCCAGAAGCTCTGGAGAAAGGAAATGACGTCTCCTTTGAGGAGTTTGTGTATTACCTCGTAGACCCGGCGACCCAGAGAGAAGAGCCCTTCAACGAACACTGGGAGCGGGTGCACTCGCTGTGCCACCCCTGCCTCATCCACTACGACGTGGTGGGGAAATACGAGACGCTGGAGCAGGACTCCCGCTACGTGCTGCAGCTGGCCGGGGTGGACGAGCAGGTCAGCTTCCCCGCCTCATCCAAAAGCACCAGGACTACAGGAGACATGGCAGCCCAGTTCTTCCAAAACATCAGCCCTTTTTACCAGAAGAAGCTGTACAACCTCTACCGCATGGACTTCCTGCTCTTCAACTACTCCGTGCCAGCCTACCTCAAGTTTAGATGAGGCTGAGGTGACTCCTGAACACTTGAACTCACTGACGGAAGCCTAAGAAGGACCGTTTCACAGGAGAAGTTCTTTCTGCAGGTCTCACCACGGACCCTGGACAAACGTTCCTCATCAGAGCTGCAAAGAAAAACTGCTCTAGAACAGCTGGAAGGCTGGCAGGACCTTGACGAATGAGTTTTTATTGTAAAGAATGAAAAAGTGGATGTGAGTCGGTGGCTGTGAAACGTGTCATCAGCTTTGGTTTTACACTCGTTTCGGTTGTTTTCTGCTGTTTCCTAAAATTTATTTGCACACGTCTACAAAGATCAGCGAGACGATGAGTAAGCAGATGGTTTCCAGAGAATGTCTTCTAACATGCGTGCCTTCCACAGTGGGCCTTATTTGGTTTCCAGGCGACAGCTTTTTTAACTGTGAACCCTGTTTCCTTTTGTACTGTAGAAGAGATTTTGTGCAACAATGACATTGTTTTTATTTATTGTGTTCTTAGTAGTGTTACCAAATCAGACCAAAATAGACATGTATTATTCTACAGTTTTCAAATAAATGCATTTCACCTCGATGGGTTTTGTATTTTCATCATTATTCACGTGCCTGTTATCGAAAGATTCATTTAAAAAACAAGGACACACACACACACACACACACACACAGCGACATGTTCACAGACGCAACCAAACAAACCCTGACTCAGCGTTTAACACAGTGAGCTGTACTCCGCGGGAAAATTCTTCACATGAATTTCACACCTTTAGAAGCACAGCTGAACATCGGGTAGCCCGTGATCACATTAGACCATCGTTTGAGTTAACAGCAGGTGGGTCAAACCAGGCAAGAGGCATCGATCAGATGGATTTGCACACACACACATACACACACACACAGGGCAAAGTGCCATAAGCGTTAACATGACCCATTTGTATATTTTAGGCCGTTTTTATAACTTTTGTCCTAACTTGTGAAGGACTTGTGCCTCAGATGGTGAATGCTTGAGTAAGCACATTATGTGTTTGACACGTTTATTTCGGAAACAGCACAGAACAAGCTGCTGACTGTTGGGTGTTCCTTAGATGTGGTTATCTATAGTTAAAGCCTACCACTGAAGATCTTTTGTTGGTCTTTTTTGTGACGATCCTTCTTGGTATTAAATCTTAGCTTACCATGCTAAAGTCCCCTGCTTCCCCCAGTCTAGCTGCTAGGTGGGTTGAGTGCGTGCAGCATAATCAGGAAATAACACACAACGGCCATTTTGAAGCCTCAGTAACGTGTGGAAGATTCACAGGTCCCATCTCAATACTGGCACTTCCACCCTGGGGTGCGAGTGCTTAGGGTGTCCCGATTGCCTTTTGCACCCTTGATCTGCACTTCACCCAAGTCTGCATCGATGCAGACTTGGGTGAAGTGCATTACCCACAATCCGTTGCTGTGGGAGAAAAGGCTCAAATCATGTTTTTTCTAGTTAAAGTAGTTACATTTAGGGATGATTAGTTGATGCTCTGAATGTTTTAGACAAAGCAGCAAGTATTTCAAATAATCTGTTTGAAAGTTGTTAATAAAGCTTTTTAAAAAAGTATCACAGCATCCTGGCGTGCATTGTGATCGATGACGCAATGCTCCCCGTCTCAGATCGGCAATTATTTGCACGCACTCGAAGACTTACAGCGCATTTTCTCCAAGTGCACTTTGCTGAAGACCGCAGGGCGAGTATTGGGATTGGGTCTTACGTTGCCATGAGCCAATAGCCTGGCTCCTCCTCATGCTTGTCAACACATTGCCCCTCCCACCTAATATTTGTCACCAACATGACTCCACCCCCTCTCATGCTGGTCACCACCATGGCTCCTCCTCCTCGTGCTTAGTCACATTATCCTGTTGAATGACCTGGTTGTCCTGATCTTCAACCTGGAGTTGAAGGTCCACTCCTCTAGCACGTACAGCAGGGCCAAGCTGTAAGAGCTGTCGGTCATGCACCTGAGTTTGGAACACACCTGGTAGCTAAAACAAGGGTGAACTTACGGTACAGTTTAGTGGTGCTATTGACACGTTGAGGCTTATTCCATTACCTTCATTAGTTTTATAGGTGGAACTGGAAAAATGAGAATCTGGTGCTAAAGTCCATTTATGTCAGTGACCCAGCTCAGACTGAGAGACCATCTAAAGGCTCAGGAACCCTCTGCAGGTGTTCTGGATTCATGAGCTGGTCAGAGTGACCCTTTGAGTCTAGATTATTGAACCTTTTCACAATATTCAAATTTTTTGTGATGAGGGGTTTTCATCTCCTGTAAGCCATAATCATCACAGTTATAACAAATAAAGGCTGAAACATCTGGATTTACATGTGAAGAGTCTGTCTCATAGATTAGTTTCACTTTTACGTTGAATTGCTGACAGAAATGAATGCTTGCACAAGATTTTTTTGTTTCACCTGTGCCTGGTAGTAAAGGTGACTAGTCAGGATTTCAAAACACACGGTTTATTGCTAAGAAACATTGTTCCACCAAAAACAATCAACTCATGGTCCCAAATGTGCTCATGAGTGTTTTTCCTTCAGACCTGTCCCTCCAGGGCAATATTCCATATATTAGCTTCAGTTCCAGGGTTTATATACCTGTAGCTGTTTATTAAAGTCTGCTGTTTCTGTGTTTGTCTACCAGCAGTTTTACAGATTATGAGCTAAACTCCCAACATGTCCTCTACTCATTCTGATGTATATTTTCCTAAAATGTAACTGTTTTAGTTGGACTTATTCAAGTAAAGTCATGGAAGGACAATAGCTAATGCCTCATTTTTTGAAGCTCAGTAGTTAACTGGATTCATCCACTTAAATAATGCTCATCCATAGGTCTACAAACTGAAAACATCAGACTCCAGTGTCAGTAGATCAGAACATCATAACCAGCCTGAAGCTAAGAGCCAAGAAACCCGTCCCCAGCAGGTCCCCCAGAGCCGTCAGGTAGGGGATGGAGTAGTTGTCTGGATCCAGGCCCCGACGCCACAGCCAATGCACCATCAGACCAGCGGTGTAGATCAGAATCGCCACCTGGACCGTGACAGCAGACAGGTTTCAGATATCTGGTGTAGTTTAGGCTGAGGACACATTTTCTTTTGCAGGTAACATTCATGAACCTGAAGCAGAGCAGCAGAGAGGTAGCAGATGATGAAGGCGGATGTCATGGCAGCGGGGCCCCCCTGCAGCAGCTGCACCGTGTACAAGAAGAGCAGGTGACCCGGCACCACCAAGGAGACCAGGACTCTGGCGGACTTGGAGTTCACATCTAGATAAACACAGAAAGAGAAGCAGCAGATATTACTTTTCCCCTTTCAGCAAAACAACAAAAGTGGCTCTGTGGTTAAACAAACACATTTACCCCTCATCAAGAAAACATGTTTGTGTTTTGCAGTTTTAATCATCATCATCTTCATCATCATCTTCATCATCATCAAACTTTATTCTGGGCCTTTAAGGTCCATAATGGGAAGGATAACGCAGTGAACAGTAAAAATAGATAAATTCATAAAGAATAAAGATTAAAGGATTAAAAACAGATTAAAAAATAGCAATAAAATAAAAACACGTTAAGAGCAATAAAGCAAGTTAATAATAAAATGACAACCAATAGCAATATAAACTGACAAGATCAGTCAAGCCAAGCCAAGCCAACTTTATTCATAAAGCACTTTAAAAACAGCCCTCGCTGACCAAAGTGCTGAACATAAAAACATAAAAGCATAAAACAGAATAACATAGAATACAGTATAAAATTAAAAGCACACTAAGACAAAACCACTAAAATCAAATAGAAATCCAAACTTTATTTGGTGTTAAAAGCCAAGCTAAAGATGATTTAAAAGTTTCCAGTGAAGAGGCCTTTCTAACCTGTGCTGGCAAAGAGTTTCATAGTCTGGGAGCAGCAACAGCGAAGGCCCTATCCCCTCTGAGCTTATGCTGTGTCCTTGGAACGACCAGGAGCAACTGATCAGATTACCCGAGCGACCGAGAGGAGGAGTGAACGTGCAATAGCTCAGAGAGGTAGGGTGGGGCAATGTCATGGTCTGCGTCTGCGTCTCCCCTCGCGTGTCTCCTTGTGTTCTCCATCCCTCTCTGGGTTCTCCTTTTGTGTCTCCTAGTGCCCTCATGTGTTCTGCGTCTTCCTCGTGTGTCTCCTGGTGTTCCCCATTTGCCCCCAGATCTTTAGCCCTCTTGGTTTCCCTCTTCAGGCATCCCCCTCCCAGGTCCTGTGCTCCCATGGCCCCCTTTTAGTCACGCCCCTGTAGTTTTTCTTTCTGTAGTGTTTTCCTCTAGTTTCAGCTTCCCCCCTTAGAATATTAGTTATGTTTGCTCAGGTCTTTAGGTTTAATTCTTAGGTCATTTTCCTTAGTTACAGCTGTTTATGTTATTGGTCTCTCTAGTGTGTTTTTTCCCATCGGTGTTTGAGGTTTTTTCCCCCTCCTTAGATTATTTGTTATGTTCCTGCTCTTCTTGTCTTTAGTTTTTATTCTTAGGTCATGCTTGTTTCCTCCCTAATTAGTAACTCAGTTCACCTGGTCTCTCTCCCTACACACCTGCAGGTCATCTCCCTCTCATCCTCCCCAGTGTATAAAGCCCTGTCTGTGTCTCACTGTCTTGTCAGTCTATTGTTTGGTGTCAGCGTTGTTTCGTGCCTTGTCTTGTAGGTTTGTGCTCTATGTGAGCTTTCGTTCTCCTGGGTTTCAGGACTTTGGTTTTTGGCTTCCTACCCTTTTGGATTTTTGGTTCCTCATCCTAATAAAAAGGATTTAACTTTTAAATCGCTCCTGCCTCGAGTCATCTGGTGTTTTCTGCATCTTGGGTCCTAACCTCCTCCTAACTCGCAATGTGACAGGCAAGACCATTTAAATACTTAAAAACAATTAAAAGAAGTTTAAAATGAACCCTAAAATGGACAGGAAGCCAATGCAGTGACGATAAAACAGGAGTGATGTGTTCACTCCTTCCTGTACCAGTTAAAAGTCGAGCAGCAGCTTTTTGCACATGCTGAAGTCGAGACAGTGAGGACTGACCCCGACTTTCCACGGGAGCCGTCAGCAGCACGTTACTGCAGCAGCACGTCATAGCTGCTGATAGGAACCGCTGTGGTCAACAGAACCTTTTCCACTGGAGCCGTCGGCAGCCGTCAGCAGCGCGAGTCGGCCGCGTCTCAGGAGCAGCATGTCGCGGCCTTTACGCGCCAGTTCTATTTTCTACGCGCGACGCCTCTGAAACGGGTCAAGTTCGACATTTTTGGGGAAGGAAAGACAGGAAATCGGACGCGGAAATAGAGAGAAGCTACCGAGATTTTCAGAATAAAGAACGTACTGCCTTCCGGTTGCTTTACTTTTAAAAAAAAGTTACTAAATGTGCGGCCCCGTGCGAAGTTATCACCTAGCTAGCGGTCTCCTTTGTTTTTCAGGTCCGTATTGGAGATTATAAAACGAACAGAACATAAAACACAAACCATGTTGTAATTTTCTCCTGCTTGTTGTTGTGTTTACTGACAAAGTCACTCGTGTGACTTCGTGCTCTGTCGGTGACAGCTGCTCCCCTGCTGCTTCGCGTCTCGTGGGAAGGGCCAAGCAGCAGCTTACGCGAGCAAGACGTGCTGCTGCAGTAACGTGCTGCTGACGACTCCCGTGGAAACCCGGGGTGACTCATACCAAAATACAAAGAGTTACAGTAATCCAGACGAGTTGTAATAAAAGCATATATTACAGTTTTAAAATCCTCTTTAGTGAAAATATGCCTTACCTTTACCAACTGTCTCAAATGGATGAAGCTGAATTTGACAACTGCACTGATCTGACTGTCCAACCTAAAATCACTGTCCATTTTAAAACCCAAATTGGTCACTGTTGGCTTTCTGTGCAGAGCCAGGGGGGCTAAGTCCATAGGAGTGGGCCTGCTGGAGCTGGAGGTACCAGTACCAAAGACAATTATCTCTGTCTTTTTCTCATTAGAATTTAAAAAGTTAAAAGCCATCCAAGATTTTACCTCATCCAAACAAACCGCTAGAGATTTTATACTGCAGCCATCTTTTTGTTTTAGCGGTATATACATCTGTGTATCATCTGCATAGCGATGGAAGGCAATTTTGTGTTTTCTAAAAATGGATTCTAGAGGCAGCAGATACAAACTAAAAAGTAGAGGACCAAGTATTGAGCCCTGAGGAACCCCACATGACAATGGAGCAGAGGAAGAGTGGAAACTGTTTAAGCTGAAACAGAAACTTCTCTGTGCCAGATATGATCTGAACCACTCCAGGGCAGTGCCACGGATCCCAACACATTGCTCCAAGCGTGACATTAAAATATTATGGTCCACTGTGTCAAAAGTAGCAGTCAAATCTAAGAGAACTAAAATCACAGAATCTCCTGAATTTGTTGCAAGGAGGGTGTCGTTAAAAACTCTCAACAGAGCATATTCTATGCTGTGAAGAATCTTAAAACCTGACTGAAAAATCTCCAAAACATTGTTATAATCTAAAAAAGATTTTAACTGGCTGTAAGCAACTTTCTCAAGGATTTTTGATAAAAATGGAAGCTTTGAAATGGGCCTAAAATTTGAGAGCACAGTGGGATCAAACCGAGGACAAGATCAGTCAAACATACAGGCAACAACACCAGTGATTCCAAAGGTTAGAATAGAAACGAGTCATGCTTCGTGTCGTTGTGGACAAGATAGAGATAATACCAGTTCCAGAGACCATCAGCCTACACATACATCTGTACATTAGATTGTGAAGGGTAGCAATCATGAGCAATAAGAAATTTTTTTTAGGTAATAATGTTATGGTGTCTGAAGTTTTATTCCAACAACCCCATATTTTCTAAATCTCACTGTGTTTTGCTGATCACCATGACTTGTGGTGTCCCCCAAGGCTCAATTCTTGGACCTCTGCTCTTCAATCTCTACATGCTCCCCCTGGGTCAGGTCATACACAATAACACTATTACCTATAATAGTTAAGCAGATGACATCCAGATCTACCTAGCTCTATCAGCTAGTGACTGTACTCCCCTAGACTCACTCTTTCAGTGTTTGGAGCAAGTCAAGGATTGGATGCAAGCAAATTTCCTCCAAATAAACAATGTTAGAAATCTTGGTGTCATAATTGATTCAGACCTGAGCTTCACTGGTCACATTTTTTTTTTCTTTTTTATTGAGAACCTCATTAGCTCACACCATAGTGTGGAGCTATTCTTCCTGAGGTCTCTTTCAATTTCATTACAAATATTTAACAAAACACCCCCATCCCCATCCCCCCCCACACACACACACCCAGCAACAACAAACTCCAGGAGCTCATTATAATCGTACCACCTCAATTGCTATAATAATATACCAATAAGTTACCACACACTTCAGAGTTCATGAAAAATCTAAATAGGTGAAAACGTAGAGTTTACACAGAGCAATAAATAACTATATTCAAGAATCAAAAATCATTACAATTCACTGTGCAAAATTTACTGTTGTGTGAACAAGAAAAGCTTTAACTTCTTTTGAAAACATCTTCTGTTGTTCTCTAATAACAAAAATCTCGGTATGGCATTCCATGCAACCATGGCTCTGTAATAAACTGCTCTTTGCCTTTGATTAGTTCTGCAGCGCGGTAGTGCGCACCTTATGTCACTTGTCTGTCTCGTCGTGTAATCATGATTGTCTGAAAAAAATGATAATTTGTCATAAATTATTTTAGGTATTTTTGTAGTTATTATATTTCTTATAAATGTGATCAGTGAATATTTTAATCTACATTTCACTGTTAACCAGGCCAACCTATCGTGCATTATACTTACATTTGTTCTATAATTACAACCCAGAACAATTCGTGCAGCTTTATTTTGTGCCACTTGTAACTTATTTAAATTCATTTCACTTGTATTAGACCAAATAACTGATGCGTAATCTAAATGAGACAGTACTAATGTTTGAACTAAAGTTTTTATCTGCAAACGAGGAATAAATTTACAACAATATTTGATCGTGCCCATACTTCTTCCAAGTTTCAGCAGGACATGATTTATGTGACTAGTCCATGACAATCTAGAATCCACAATTACCCCCAACAGTCTTGCTTCTTCTACCTGCTCTATCGCTATGTTACCTAGCTTCAAATGCAGTCTAGGTGTCATCTGTAGTGTATATGTATTCCCCACTATCATGCATTTAGTTTTTTCTGCATTGATTTCTAGTTTGTTCATTCTAAACCATTGTGTAACTAAATCCAACTCCTTTTTTAAAATATCATTTAATTGGCCTTCTGTTTGTGCTGATGCAAATAATGTTGTGTCATCTGCATATATAGCCATGGTTGCATGTTTTAAAATCAAAGGTAAGTCATTAATAAAAATAGAAAACAAAAGAGGGCCCAAACAACTGCCCTGTGGCACTCCACAATCTAACTGACCCGTTTCAGAATAACTGCCATTAAAATAGAAGTTGAATTTGCGATTCGTTAAATAACTTTCTGTCCACTTAATGGCGGACGACTGAAATTTATAACGTTCTAATTTTTTTAATAAGATTTTATGATCAATCACATCAAAAGCTGCACTCAAATCTAAAAATATAGTACCAACTAACTTTTTATCATCTATTTCTTCTAACCAATGATCAGTAATCTGAGCAAGTGCAGTAGTAGTGGAGTGACCCGCCTTATATGCATGTTGATAAATTGTGTTTAATCTATTTGTTATAAAATATTCTTGTATTTGTTCATATGCTACTCTTTCCAAAAGTTTGCTTAATGCTGGTAGCAAACTTATTGGCCGACTATTTTTACCAGACAGTGGTTCTCGGTTATTTTTGATTAATGGAATTACTTTAGCCTTTTTCCATTGGGCTGGAAAAATACTTTGATTAAAACTTATGTTAATAATATGTGAAACTGGCAGTAAAATAAAATCTGCCACCAATTTTAGCAATCTTATATCAATATCATCCATTCCAGGGGGTTTATCTTTACTATTTAAGATTAATTTTTTAATGTAATCCTCTGATACCTCCATAAACTTAAACTCACAATCTTTCATTTGCATGATATCGTCCTTAATTCTTTGATAAGATGTATTTTCTTCTTTTCTCTCCTCCCTGGTATTATTCAATGTTTTAATTTTATTGATAAAAAACAGTTTTAAATAATCAGCTATTTCTTTTGGTTTGGTTAAAAAAACTCCATCTGCCTCTAGAACAGTAGGTGCCTTCCTTTTTTTAACCCCCAAAAGTTCATTTAATGTACCCCACACCTTTGCATGATCTAATTTAGCTTCTATGATTCTTCTATGATACGCTATAACTATAACTAGATCAGCATTTTATCATCTTCATCAAATAGCATGACTCAGAGGTCTCATGTCCAGACACGACATAGAGAAACCCATTCATGCATTCATCTCCAGCAGGCTGGACTATTGCAGTGGTCTTCTGACTGGTCTTCCCAAAAAAGCTGCGACGCAACTGCAGCTTATTCAGAATGCTGCCGCTAGAGTCTTAACAAGAACCAAGAGAACTGAGCACGTCACTCCTGTTCTTCTCCCTCTCCTGATAATAACTTTTTGCTTTCCTTGACGTTGGATGTGCTACTACTAGTTTATCCGTTTAATTATAGATCCACTAGGATAAATACAATAAAGTTTATCTCTCACCAAACAGAATATTTACTAAGAAATCACAATGTAACCATAGAAACACTATTTGGTGTGTGTGTGTGTGTGTGTGTGTGTGTGTGTGTGTGTGTGTGTGTGTGTGTGTGTGTGTGTGTGTGTGTGTGTGTGTGTGTAGCTACTATGCTGCTCACAGATGGAATCAGCTTCCTCATGACCTCAAATGTGCCCCAACTCTAGAAACATTGAATTGTCTCTGTGTGTGAAACTGCTTTTCAATTCAATTAAATTCAATAATACTTTATTAATCCCAGAGGGAAATTAGAGTTTCAGTACACACAATTCTGAGATCAGACTTACATACATGACAGGAATTGGTGACTGTGGTCATTCGCAACTCGAGCCGCGCTACCGTAACAGTTAAAGCTGCTTTAGTGAATCCACAGAACACTCCCCTTCCCTCAGGCATCTTTTCAGAATCAGAATCAGAATAAGCTTTATTGCCAGCGCTCCAGCGACCCAGAGCATAAGAACTTGACTCCGCAAACACAACCTGACCAAGGTTAAACACACACACATGTAGACATGTAGACAAAAACAGGTACAGGCAGTCACGAGAGCAGCCAGGACGGCGCTCATTTCATTAGATGAAAAGGGTGTTACATGAGGATAAATGGGGTAAGGTAAGAAAAGGCATACCAGAGTTAGTCCCAGCAGGGAGTAGCTCTACTATACAAAAAAAAAAAACCTCCTCAACATAGAAGCACGAACATCACAGTTACAAAACTTCAGATTCCGATAGGGAGGCGGGGTGGGGCGGGATCCTGAATCCTCCAACGGGAGCTGCCAGTACGGCGCTCAGCCAGCTGCAGTCAAACAGGTGGGAGGGAGAAATGAGGGACTGAGAGCACATTGAGTTTCCTGCAGGTTGATGACCTCGAAGCAGAAGTCACAATCTGAAGGCACGGGGGGAAGTTCGGGACACAGCATCTGTCAGCATTCCTCCTTTCGTGGGGATGTGTTGATGGCAGCCTTGGAGGCTGCCTTGGCGTCAGATAAGGATAAACAAGACTTTGTTTAGGGCAGACAGAGATAATTTTCCTCTCTGCCTTGGAGTCCATTAAGTGGTCATTCATGTCCACCAGTGAGGCCAATTATATGTTCTAAACATCCCCACACCGTCCGGCGACCCTCTCCGAGATGACATCCATCTTGCGCACTAACACAGGCAACACCGCGAGGACATTGTCCAGCTTACGGTTCACCTCGAGTAACGTCCCAGTCTGTGAGGTCACCGCACGGGCGGCACATTCCGTGGGTACGGGTCGCACTCCAATCGCTCCCGTCTTCCCAAATTTCCAGAAAACCAGATATCCTCCCACTCCAATCAGAAGAAATCCAGTGATCATCGGGCCGAATATCCACAAATCTTCCACGTCCTCGATGGACAACTGAGAGAGGCACACGATTCGCCAGACCTCCCAAGAATCGAGTGCATATCCCGCTGCGAATGTCCCTTGAGGACAGGTGGGAGCCCTCTTCTCCGTTCTCATCGTAGAAAAAATCTTATCAATCGCGTTGAATGACCAGTTAATTAAGTTCATTTTCCAAAAAGAAGTAGTGATTTTCAGGAGAAATGCAGAGAAGTGCTCTGTAGGCAGACAGGACAGAGAGCCTTGGGGAAGCAGATAAGGGAGCTGAAGAAAAAAGCGTCTGTACTCTCTGAGACGGTTCTGTCAGAACCAGAAAGCCACGACGCCAGAGGAAACGAGAGAGGGCAAAATTTGAGCTCAGTGCACACCTCAACAACACCATGTGACTAAAATGTGCCCTACCAAGTGGTTGACCCGCCTATCAAAGGGTTGAAAACATGCACTAATTCTTGTATTTTACTCTGATTGGGTGTCACGAAGAGCTTCATCTAAATCTCAGAGGGAATGAACCTGCAACCTTATGATTACTGGACAACCCAATCTACCTCATGAGCTACTGCTGTACTACTGCTTTGTACTACATCAGGACTGGTCTATTAGATGTTATTTCTTTTTTGGGAGGCTTCTCCCATTAGCTATTATTTTTACATGTACATCAGGGCTGAAGTGAGGAAAAAAAGAAAAATTGTGTCATCAAATGAACCCTAAAACAGCCGTGTGACACGTCGCACATCTGCAGTAAAACTAAATTCAAAACAAATGTAAAAAAAGTGCATTTTTTCTGCTTTTGTTCCTTTGTTTTATTCACTAACTGTCACTTTTTTATTGTATTCCTGTAGTAAAGTTTTGAATAAAGTCTTGCTTGCAGGAATGTATTTGCTGAATGTAACCTGAGGAGCAGAATGTGGCACACGGTCCAGGACAGCCAGCACTCATCTTAGGTGGAAGAGCTCCAGGAACACTCCAGTAATGGAGGTACGTCGACATCCTGCTGGCCTGGATGGCTGCTAGATTTCCTGCTACGCCTGCAAGGATGACACACACACACACACACACACACACACACACACACACACACACACACACACACACACACACACACACACACACACACACACACACACACACACACACTTATAAATCCCAAAGCAGCAAACGTGTTTTCTGTATTTGTCTTTCTGCTCCGACACGAGCCCTTTGGGGAGGGAGGTTTTTATTATTGCTAGAATTAGTTTCATTTGCTCTCATGCAGATTTCATCCCAGCATTTTGTTGCAGATGTTGAACCATCCGTTGTTCAGCCAACATCTTGTTTATAACTGGGTTTGAGAGTCCGTCACTCCAGAGTCAACAAACTTTGGAAAATGTATTTATTTTCTGGAAAACTAGTCAGCAGTTATTCCCGACTCTATGTCCCAGGGGGAATTCCTTTTGTTGTTAAATCTCTGGAAGGGAAATCACATTTCTGTGCCATATTTGTTGTAATGCTGCCTGCTCGCCACAAGGGCGGATTTGGTTAGGAGCACGACAGAACCTCTTGGTTTGAAGCAGATGGATGGTTAGAACAAAGCAAGAGGAGGTTTTCTGGTCAGCAAGGCATGAGAGGAGAGCGCTGCACTGGAATGCAAATGTCCTTCCTGAGGAGAGATGGCACAGAAGCTGGCAGAGCTGCTGCAGAAACAGGAGCCAGCAGATGCATAGTTGGCATTCTGATCAGGCCTGTGGTTCATGTAAAGACCGTTGTTATTCCTTGCTGCTCAGCAGGCTGCTTTGTGGTCAGCTGATTTCAGTCACTGGCGGCTTTCTACTTCTTAACGGCTCCTTGTGGCTCTTTTGACACAGAGGCAACTCCTCGGCTTCAGCAGCACTTTCATGCCTGGTGATTGATGAGGGGCTCCGATGGGCTCAGCCTCAGCATGTGTTACAGCTGTACAGGCTCCGGTCTGTAGAAAGAGCATGGCTTCAGATCCACGAGATTTACTGCTGCGCCCGGCATGCCCCTGCCTTCAGACGGCATAGTTCATGTGTTTTCCTGGTAATTAGGAAGAGAAGGAAGCTCTGAAGCCAATCTTTAGCTGAAACCTCATAACCATAAATCCCATCGCTCTTCCCTCAGAACGACGTCTCTGTTTGATGTTAGAGTTTGAACAATGGGGAAAATGCTCCTAATTGTTTTGGTTCAAATAAAGGGATTACTGTCATATTAGTGAGAAGTCATTTATTATTCTGATCCCCCGGGCCTCACAAACAGACAGTAATTCAGCTGTGCTCAGAGAGACCCCCACCCAGTGATGACTAGAGGTAGTTGCTCGTTCTAGCTCTAAACAAGTGGTTCCCACCTTTTTTTTATTAGGACCCCATTTCCTGTGTCCAAGAACAGAAATCCCCCTCACACACACACACACACACTCCTACCCGCATGCACACAGTTAAAAGAGAATGATTAAACTTCATATTGTCATGCCCCTCACACAGAGTTGTGACTGTTCTATTGGGTGTGGTTTCTGGGTTTTATAAATGTAATTGTTACAAATATATTGTTGGGAATCTCACAAAGTCAGCACAGAGAAAATGGCGGGGACCCCCTTGGGGGATTATGGGGTTATGGACCCTGCTCTAAACCACATCAGGGTTAGTATTTTATTTTGTAGAGAAGCTTGTGTGAATATTTGTAGACATGAGATGTGAAAAGGGTTTTGTACGTTTGTCTTCATGAAAGAAACAAGATTCACTGTTTTGTTAAAGGTGCAAGAGGGAAAAAAACGAAGTAAGAAGGACATCCTGTGGTCAGATTTGGTTACTGCAGCCTGTTTTCTAAACAAGCGAGTCACTATCTCATGAGCATTTAGTGAGTGCCAGTTACGGCTCAGTGCCAGGAGATCCTAGATGACAAAGACGGGTCATTCATAGTGAGTTGATCATTGGATACATACATTTCACTGTATTGATATGATTGAAAAGGTAGTTTGAGATATTTTTGGAGCTGACAATTTTTTTCTAATTAATCTTTAGCCTTGCTTGCTCAACGTTAGCTTCTAGCCTTCTTCACCCGATGCTGTGGCTTCTTAGGGGTACAAGAAATTACTTCTGGGTTTCTCCTGTTTACTGGCTTCAGTTCTTCACAAAATGCTGCTGCCTTTCTCCAGATGGTGTGAAATTACAAATGCCAGCGCAGCACCGTTGGCTTGGTGCAGACTCACCAACCTCGCGGGCTCACAGATGGTAAATAGTAGTTAACTACGCCACCTCAGGCCATTTAATTAATAAAATTAATACATTTAAGGTATATAGTTAATGCCAAGACTGACTCTCTTTTGACTCTTCTTTGCTGCTTCACACACACCCCGCTAGAAGGCGGCGCAGACCGCAACAATATATATTTATATGTTTATGTTTATGTATTTAGCAGACGCTTTTGTCCAAAGAGACTTACAAGTGATAATCGGCATGTTGCCCTTGAGGCTAACAACAACAATAACAACAACAACCTGACATCAGTCGTGGAGAGGAGGGAACAAGGAGTGGACAGTAGAGAGGGGGGACGGGTGCAGGGAAGGTGCTGGTTAGAAGATGCTCTCTGAAGAGCAGGGTCTTCAGGAGTTTCTTGAAAATTGAAAAGGAAGCTCCTGTTCTGGTAGTGCTTGGAAGGTCATTCCACATTTGTGGAACGATGCATGAGAAGAGTCTGGATTGTCCTGAGCGTGGTGTAGGCACTGCTAGCCGACGATCCTGCGATGACCGGAGCGGCCGGGCCGAGACGTAAGCCTTTGCAAGAGGATTCAGGTAGATGGGAGCCATACCATCTCGGACTTTGTATGCTAGCGGTAGCCAGTGGAGCTCAATGAACAGAGGGGTACTGTGTGCTCTTTTTGGCTGATTGAAGACCAGACGCGCCACTGCGTTCTGGACCATTTGAGGAGGTCTCACAGTACAGGCTGGAAGACCAGTTAGAAGGGCATTGCAGTAATCGATGCGGGAGATGACAGTAGATTGCACCAGGAGCTGGGTGGCATGTTGTGTTAGGTATGGTCTGATCTTTCGTACGTTATACAGCGCAAAGCGGCATGAACGAGCAACAGAGGCAACATGATCTTTAAAGCTCAGGTGTTCATCAATTGCAACACCCAGATTTCGAACTGCCTTTGAAGGAGCCAGAGATAGGAAGTCATTTTGGATTGAGATATTGTGCTGTATGGGTGGTTTTGCTGGGATGACAAGTAGTTCAGTTTTAGAGAGGTTGAGTTTGAGATGGTGGGATTTCATCCATTTTGATATGTCAGAGAGACAGTTTGATATTCGTGCAGAGACAGTGTGGTCGTCCGGTGTGTTTTTATTTGTTGTGTTAAGCACCTTGGGGCTGACTGAAGTGAGCTAGAAATAAATAAAATTTATAAATAAAATTGAAGAAGAAGATGATAATCTGTCATATGTGGAAGGCTGTGACTTGAATTATAATCCCAACATCACATTTAAGTGTATTCTGTGTTACCCGACGGATTTACTGTCGATATAAAGTCCAGTGACTTCATTAGGTGAATAATTAAAACACGATGAATTGGTAGCAGCTCTACGAGCTATTTAGCTAACCAGAGTCAGTGATCAGCTCCAGCCAGGCAGCGGGGCTGCACACAGAAGCAGATACACGGTAGGAGGTCAGAACTAAGCCGTGTGCTGCCAACGAGGTGAATCAGAACCCTGAACATCATCACAAGTCCTGCAGACCGGTGCCAAAAGCCCGAGGTGGGTGTTACACAAGGCTGGTTCTGTTTGATGTCAAGCATCCAGGTCTAAGTCTAGCCCATTAAAGACGAAGATACCATTGGTGTTATGTTTCAGTGGGAGGAAACTACATGGTACCACGTTTCTGCTTCACCAGTAACGATCTGAACTTTTCACCTTAATCTCTGTTCAGCTTCGACTCACCGTTGATGACCGGAGTGAAAGCCGCCATTCCTTCATAGTCTGGATTACTCACAGTTTTATCCAGAATCAGACCCCCAATACTGGAAAGGATGAAACATCTTAATGAGTCCGACTGGTTTATAAATAACATTTAATCTTTGAGATGTGACTTTTCTCATTTCTAAGAATGTCAGCCTGTTATTTAAATGTAAATAACCTTTAAAACCAGCAGGTTACATTAATTAAACTATTTGTTTTCAGTCCTGTTTCTGGTTTTCTTTGAGTTTCTGATACTCTAGGTTTTATTTCTGGAATCAAAACCTCCCAGATTTATTCATTACTTTTTATTTTTGGACTTACACTAGAATCACCCTAAAGCAAAGGTCCACTTTTCTTTTGACCAGTCGGACTCTATACTGAATGTGACTATTATTTGTTACTGAGGTATTTTTATAGCAAAGTAACATATTCATCATGAATGGTCCCACCTGCTGATAGACATGGCCAAAATAACAGGCTGCCAGCCTGACTTTAGGACCTCTCTGATTGGTGGAGAGTGGCTGGCAACAAAGACCCAGGCTGGGGTGAGGAGCAGGAAGAATCCACACAGCAGGGGTGGCAGGTACCACATGTCTGCAGAGAAACACAGCAGATCTGGGTTCAGACCTGCAGCCCACCAATAACAGGGGGAGCTTCTAACCCTGGGCCACGGTCGCCCCTGCAGACACCATCACCCTAACACCACTCTCAGTGGGGTGAGTGCAAATCTGTTGGAACTAGATCTGGAGTTTGCTGCCCTCTCCTGGATTAAGTTAGAGCAAAGCAACATCCTGGTCATGTGACTGGATCAACAGCATAATGTTCCCCTGAAGTTTAAAAAACTGAAACCAAAATGTTCCCTTCACTGGGAAATATGTTGCATTTAGTGACCTCTGACCTCTGTAGCTGAAGAAGAAGCTGCTGACTCCAGCAAGTAGCGATAGGGTGACGAGGTCTCCCAGGCTGGCGGCGATGGGTGTGGCCACATTATCTGGGTTGATCCCCACCTTCCTGGATGCGAGGATCACTGCCACCACCACTAAACCTGACGTGGAAACAGAAGGAAGAAAGTAATATGGTTGAAGATTTCTCTCTTCTTCTGCTGCTGTAACCCATAACCTCTTGTTTCCAGACACAGCCACGTTGTGTTTTTGGAATCAGAGCAGATGAGTTTGGGATGCGGGGTTAAACTCCCTTCTACCCGTGTGCACACATTCTTCCCATCACTCCAATTGATCCGAATGTTATTTCTATGTTTTAGTGTTGAAAAGTCTGCACATGAAACTTGTTCTGCAACCAGCCTCTGGGGGGGCGTTTCAGGTCCTCAAACTTCAGATTCTGCTCTCTGTTCCTATCTCTAATTATATTTCTGTTGAAGGTCTGACCTAGAGAGAGGGCGGCGGCGACAGCAGTCGTGACGCTGCTAGCACACAGGATAGCAGCCTGCATGGCGTCCACTCGTCCTCTGGTCAGACAGCCCAGAGCCACGGCTGCAACCGCGGCCAGGAGTCCCACCACCGTGGCCTGCACCTACAAAGTCCACATTAAACCAAAAAGGAGGAAGCATTCATTCACATGATGGTCCCGAAGGGGCTGCAACCAACGTAGCACGGAGTATAATGTTAACAAGCTAAGCTAACTTGCTACGTCGAATAACTAATTAACCAGTCAGGCCCTCTTTATAAAGCACTTTTCATACAGTTTGTATAATAAGTTCAAGTAAGAATTTAAAAAAGATAAAAGTCATATGAAATCCACCTTCCTTCTGAAAGCATTGCTAAACACCACAGAGTCATAATGACAACAATGACAGGTCTTAAGGTTGTTCATCATCTATGAAAAGAAAAAACTCTGAGCACGAGCTGTAAGAGTGTGTTTCACCGGTCGAGCGGCTCTTATGCACTGGTGATGAAGAAGTAGCCTGGCC